GCATCACAGCTCACAGCAACTTCCAACTCCTGGGCTCAAGCGAGTCTCTTGCCTCAGCCTCCCAAGTAGTTGGGACCACAGGCGCCCGCCACAACACCCAGCTGTTTGTTGGTTACAGCTGTCATTGTTGTTTGGTGGGCCAGGGCTGGATTCGAACCCACCACTTTAGGTGTATGTGGCTGGTGCCTTAGCTGCTTGAGCTACAGGCACCGAGCCCCTAATCACAGTCTTAAGGGGAAGCAGTGGCAAACCACTCTTGTCCCCCAGTTCAAATCATAGAATTTTGAGGTAGAAAGAACTTTATGATTTCTGGTCTTTCATGTTGCTGTGTAAGGCAGCCCATAAACTAAGGGAAAGCACATAGGCTTTGGAGTAAAGCAAAGTACACACACTTAGATTCAAATACTAGCTCTGATGCTTACTAGCTGTTTGACCTTGAATGACACATTTACCCTGCTTGTCTTCAGTTTGACCTTGAAAGGCACACTTGTCCCACCTGTCTTCAGTAATCTTGGTTGTAAAATGACCTACTTCACAGAGTGTTTATAGGGACTAACAGTTTAATACTTAGCATAGTACCTGGGGTATAGTAGCAGCTCTCAACTATATCAACTACAACTAGAGAACACAATTTCTGTCGTCTTCTGAGAAGTGGTATAATGTATGGTTTAGAGGGCAACCCCTGGATTTGGATTGGGTTCAAGTCCCAGCTCCACTATCTAGACAATATAGCTTTGTGAATTGAGCACATTTACTTTTGTGCCTCAGTTTCCCCTTTAGTAAAATAATAACACACCAACCTTCCAAGATTATTATAAAGATTAAATAAGTAAATATCAGTAAAAAGTTTAGAACAGTGCCTGATATGTTCTGCTGTTCTCATTTCAGAGGCACCTTTAACACATATTCCTGAGAATATGTAGAGGTTTCTCTTTTTCACTATCCTCAGCAGAGGGAGGTGAGAATAGAAACCCTATCCATCTCAGAGTGTTTGAAGGTTTGTTTCAGCTGGAGTTCAGGTTATCTAAACCCCTGAACTCTCCTGTCTCTCAGGAACGAGACAGAGTAGAGTTGTCTAAGACACTGGTCCTCAATCTTTCTGGCACCAGTTTTTCCACGGATAGACAGACAGGAGTGAGGGTGTTGGGAGATCTTGCAGGAGGTGGAGCTCAGGTGGTGATGTGAGTGATGGGGGAGTGGCTATAAATACCAATCAAGGGATGTGAGTTTGCCCACCTGCTGTTAACCTCCTGCTCTGCAGCCTACCTTTTAGTTCCTAACAGGCCATAAGACCTGTCCAAGGGTTGGGGATTGGGGACCCAAGTATAGAAGACTTGAGTTCCACTCCCAGTTTTACCGCTGACTTAACTTTGATCTTAGGCAAGTCAGCTAACCTCTGAGGCTTCTTAATCTCTTATTTAAAATAGAAATAGAGGGCATAAGGCGACGGCACCTGTGGCTCAGTGGGTAGAGCACTGGCCCCATATACTGAGGGTGGTGGGTTCAAACCCAGCCCTGGCCAAACTGCAGCAACAACAACAAAAATAAAATAGAAGGCATAAATAATTGCTTTGTGTGTGTCTAGTGTATACTTAATTCTCCCATGTCACTCTATTCTAGCTGTATTTGCCTTCTTGTTCCTTAAACATACCAAACTTACTCTTGCTTTTTATGCCACAGAGCCGTTGTTCTTGTTATTCTCACTTTCTGGAACACTCTTTTCTCAGATCTTTGTACATATTACACCAGGTGTCCTCAAACTATGGCCCACGGGCCACATGCAGCCCGCCTAGGACATTTATCTGGCCCTCTGGGTGTTTTTGCCACTGCTGCCTGTCCTGCTTAGCAGCTGACTTGTCCCAGGGCCTGCAGTCCGGCCCTCCATTGGTCTGAGGGACAGTGAACTGGCCCCCTGTTTAAAAAGTTTGAGGACCCCTGGATTATACCCTCACTTTATTCAGGTCTGTGCATTTGTCACTCTTTGGAGAGGGGACTTTCCTGACCATCTCTTCTAAAAATAGACTCTACTTTTACCCTTTGTTATTCTTTCTCCCCTTCCCTGCTTTATTTATTTATTTTGAGACAGCATCAAGCTGTCACCGTGGGTAGAGTGTCGTGGCATCACAGCTCACAGCAACCTCCAACTCCTGGGCTTAAGTGATTCTCTTGCCTCAGCCTCCCAAGTAGCTGGGACTATAAGTGCCTGCCCCAATGCCCAGCTAATTTTTTTTTTTTTTTTTTTTGGTTGTAGTGGTCATTGTTGTTTGGCAGGCTCAGGCTTGGATACAAACTCGCCAGCTCTGGTATATGTGGCTGGTGTCTTAACCGCTTGAGATACAGGTGCCGAGCCACCCTGCTTTATTTTTATATTTTATAGCACTTTGCACTACTTGAAGTTATGTACTTAAATTAACCTATCTTTTGGTAGGATGCAAAATGTGTAAAGGCAGGAACTTAGAATGCTCATACTGCCCTGAGTTCTTGCCTGTTCTGGGGAGGACCCTTAACAAGCTCTCTCTCTGTTACAGGTGAGCCTCGTTCCCAGAGGCAGCTGGTGCTGACCCGTGTAACCCAGAGGAAGAAATAGCTGGCTAAGCACAGCCTTTGTACTGGTGAGTGAGGGTGTCTGGGAAAACTCTGGATAAGCTTGGGCCAAGATAAAGGGTAGTTAGCTTGGGGATTAGTTTGCCATTAATAAAGAAAACTTACAGGTGAGTTACAAGAGATTGAATGTTAGCATAGGCAACCTCCTGAACTGGGAGAACAGTGGTTGAGATTGGTTTACTAGAGCTGCCATGATAATGTCTTGGATCGTTTGCCATGAATAAGGTAGAGCATGAATAAGGCTTGCTGCTTTTGCTTGGATCGTTTGCCATGAATAAGGTAGAGCATGAATAAGGCTTGCTGCTTTTGCTTCTGCTGGAGATTATCTGGGAACCTGGCAACTGTATCTGTCCTCTCTTCAGGTCTTCAATGTGATCTGACTTCATTGTCTCCTGTGACCTACCAAGCCCATGGATTTGCTTTAGGAAATTCTGTCATTTTCTCAATTCTACAAAATGTGATCATGAAAAGTAATAAGGATGGAGTGATAGAGTAAGACTGAATGAAGGGAAAAGTCAGGGGAAATGCAGAGACAGGATCAGATGGTCAACAGGGAAGCAAAATCAACACATTAAGAACTTACAGTAAGGCTAGGCACAATGGCTCAAGCCTGTAATCCCAGTACTCTGGGAGGTTGAAGGTGGGTGAATTGCCTAAGCTCACAGGTTTGAGACTAGCCTGAGCCAGAGTGACACCCTGTCTCTAAAAATAGCTGGGTGTTGTGGCTGGCACCTGTAGTCCCACTACTTGGGAGGCTAAGACAAGAGAATCACTTAAGCCCAAGAGTTTGAGGTTGCTGTGAGCTATGATGCCATCTACTGAGGGCAACAAAGTGAGATTCTGTCTCAAAAAAAAAAGAAAGAAAGAAAAGAATTTACAGTGTTATAGATCTCATTTAATCTAGACAAACTCCCCTCCTCACCCTCCCCCCTTTTGAGATGGAATCTTGTTTTGTTGCCTAGGATGTCCCTTTTTTTCTTTTTTTTTTTGGGAGATAGTGTTAGTCACAGTAGAGTTTGTGGCATCATAGCTCACAGCAACATCAGACTCTTTGTGCTTAAGAGATCCTCTTGCCTCAGCCTCCTAGGTAGCTGGGACTACAGGTACCTGCCATAAGCCTGGCTCTTTTTACAGACGGGGTCTTGCTCATGGTTAGAGGAGTCTCCAACTCTTAAGCTCAAGCAGTCCACTCCTCTCATCCTCCTAGAGTGCTGGGATTATAGGCGTGAGCCACTACGCCTGGCTGCCTAGGTTATTCTTAAGCTCTTGGGCAAGTGATCCCCCTGAATAGTTGGGATTATAGGTATGTACTACTGTACCCTTTCCCTTTCCCTTTCTTCAGAGCCTCAAGCTGTCACCCTGGGTAGAGTGCTGTGGCATCACAGCTCATAGCAACCTCTAACTCCTGGGCTTAAGTGATTCTGTCACCTCAGCCTCCCAAGTAGCTGGGACTACAGGCGCCCACCACAATGCTCAGCTATTTTTTGGTTGTAGTTGTCATTACTGTTTGGCAGGCCCGGGCTGGATTCAAACTCATCAGCTCTGGTGTATGTGGCTGGTGCCATAGTTGTTTGAGCTATAGGCGCTGAGCCTGTACCTGTTTCTAAAATCCCATTTTATAGATGAGGAAATTGAGGCTCAGGAAGCTAAAGTAATTTGCCCAAGTTTAATACAAGGAAATTTTACAAGGTTGATGTTAGGACCCTGTTTCTTTTAACTATAAATATTAATACAAGTGTTCTTCCTCACTTGGCAGGGTTTCCTTGGTTGCTAATCTTCCTATAATCCTGATTTTTCTTATAGAGTTAAAGAAGATAGACCTTCTTAGACATTCAGAAAGGAGATTCAGTTGAAGGACCCAGCAGAGCAGGTAGGAATTGGAAGTCTCCTTTTTTTGCAGTTTTTGGCTGGGGCTGGGTTTGGACCCGCCACCTCTGGTATATGGGGCCAGCACCCTACTCCTTTGAGCCATAGGCGCTGCCCAGAAGTCTCCTTTGCATGTATTAACCTTGTAGGGATGTTATGGAGGATCATGCAAGTTGAGGAGCTTTATGAATTATAAAACAGCATTAACAAAACAAGAAACTGAGAAGGAAGCGTTATAAATGTTTGAGTTCATTTTGTGTTGTTATAAAGGAATCCCTGAGTTTGATTGGTTAATTTATTTATTTTTATTTATTTATTTATTTATTTTTTGAGACGGAGCCTCAAGCTATCCCCCTGGGTAGAGTGCCATGGCATCACGCTCACAGCAACCTCCAACTCCTGGGCTCAAGCGAG